CGACGCAACATCCCACAGAAGTCTTTATATTCGCCGCCTGAGAACCGCGAAATCATCGAGGTTTTTTGTTAGTCTAGACACTTTTTATTATTTTACGTTTACTCTGTCTTACGTGGTTAAATAATTCTCTTGAAAGCAGGAATCTAGATTAGACATAAATTTCTTGTCATGTAATCAGATAACTATAATGACGCCAAAATGGTTTCTTAAAGAGATATAGAAATCTTAAGCAACGAAGGCTCGCATTTTGACTTTAACCTTTTATTAATGCTTCTTTTGGAGAGCCGAGAGATTATATCGAAATGGAAATTATGTTTGGTGCTAAGAAAAATCTGTATTGGAGTGTAAGCCATAGGTTTTCTATGATAAATCCTGTCCACTACATGAAGCTACAGAGGGACAGACCGTAACTAAATGGGGATAAAGCTTTATCACAGTTTGAGCGTTTCTTGGGAATTATCATGCTTCTGTCATTATGTGATGCAGTGAAGTGTTGCCTTTAAAATGACCAACACCTTTCCAGTCCATTAGGTGCACATTTCGTCTCTTGGATTCTTACCAACTCACATAGGACGTAGTAGAAATGTGTACACTGAGCAGGTTGATTCAGTTAAGGCCATTCGACTTTATAATTCGGAAGTTACCCAGTTCTAAACTCGAAAGGGGTACACGTGAATAAAGGAGGTAACTACACTTCTTTCCATAAAAATTTTCATTTACACTAAAGAACATGTAGTACATTTAGATATAATTTAATATAAGTTCATATATTTTATATTTTCTCTTCTTGTATTTTACTGAAATACATTTCACACACTTGGTTAATTGTAAGATATCATTGTGGAAACATGTTTGGTCTCTGTCCTACTGTACACACAACATTATTTCCATACTGGTGAAGGCGTTAGAAGAATAAAAATTTCCATTATCTGAGGAGACTAGCTCTATTGCTTTTGTTGAACTTGCTACTGCTGTGAATTCTCCTCTCGCATTGAAGTAGAGACCGCGTGGTCGGATTTACTGCCGTATTAAGTAAACTCTATTAGAGTTTACCATGGTATCTGCATAAACACAGTTTTACTTAAGTTTGTTTAGTTTTGTTAATTGTTGGTTGTAGTTTCGTACTAATAATTTACACACTACAGTAATTAATAAGCATTATAAAGCCATTATGCTTTTGAGAACGACCTTAGTATTATATAAAACAATAGGGAGTTTTAGAGAATATTTTATACATTTTTTATTCTTATTTTTGTTTAAATAATCGGTCACTGAAAAGATTGCCCTTGTTTAACGGGTTTAATTTTGTGCAGTTTTGGAGTGTGTATTGATAATCATAATGATTATGTTAGTTGTGAACTTGTCTCGAATAAAGCATATTACGTCTAAGTTACTGAAATAATTTTAGTGTAGTGTCATTCCATGATGTTAGAGGGAAACAGTCTTCGATGCTTTGGGGGTTTGTTGTCAGTGCTAGTAACCGTAAAAGCTTAATGTTTTATTTGATCAGTGTTGATTCTGAGTTCCATGCAAGACACATATTTCATCTTAATTTCTGAATGTATTGCCATTTTAATTTAATAAAGAGGATGTTAGTATAATAACGACTCGCAGATTGAGAATGTTTCCACAATTTGCTTCGAAACATTAATAGCTGTTTAATTCTGACTGTGTTTCTTCATTCGTCAAACTACTCTGATGTAAGCTTCTGTCTCCAGTTTGTCATTCTGTAGCGTTTTTGGTATAAGAGGATTATGTCTGGCTTCAATGTAGCAAATTCTCAGAATATTATATTCTAGAGCTGGATTCTTATCACATGTAGGACAGGCAACATTCCGGTGTATTGTTCTCGGATTGCTGCATCCGCAGCTACAGATGGGCTTGAGCATAGGATCTGGATACAACTGATTCAGGATAATAGCCGTGTTGAACCTTCGGGTTCTGCTGTCAGATAGATAATAGAGAACATTTCCTGTGGAACTCGTTATAACCTTTCGAAAACGCCAGGATACTGTGGAACAGTGGGAAAATACCGCGTAAGTGTATGGTTCCGCAGTGCATAGTTGGTAACCTTAGGGTCACATTTCGGATGTCACTGCCATGTAACGCAGGATACAGGAAAATAAACACTATTTATTAAACTGGCTTGTTAAACGATATTTTTATTGATGAGGTACGACGGGGTTACACACAGTGACACTAATTTAGGCATTTCGTTGTCGCATGAATAAAACGCCTTTGTGTAGCGGAGAGTTTAATATCATGTAGAGCTGTCAGATATAAATTGTGACACAGCCACTCTGCAATTATTACTCACGCCTCTCTCAACTAGTTCACCCCATTTGCCGATTATCAATCAGTTACTTGTGACGTGTGCTACCATGAGTGCCGTGTCTCTTGTTTTTGGACACGGAACATGTAGTCTAAAACAGTGTTACCAACATAAATTTAATGCATAATATCGTTCTAGAAAGCCCACAGGTACTTTAACATATATCTTGATTTGAAAGCTGTATACTAGTACGTGGTATGCAAATTTTATTTTCATTCTTGCGTTATATATATAAATATATATGCGAAGTTTTATGTCATATCCTAAGGGAAAATAAGACAGAGGGACTTACTCAGCCCTTATGAGATTGAACTGACTTAGAACAAGATATACTGACATCTAGGACTGGATTTGTGACATAATTAATTAATTAATATGTAATATAGGTGGTAAAACGAGTAAGGCTGTAGTTATTATAAGGGATCTCAACCAACTTTATGTTAAACTGATGTCATTTATAAAGGTTACTTTTTTCTTGGGAATAGTCCCGTGTAGACTGGTATAAATTGACCCGAATTTTATGTGTTTACTGCTGCCATGTTCATGGTGATGGAGGAGTCTACACCTCTGAATCGTTGGTCAGTTTCTACCAGACTATAGTGCACAACATCCCTTCATAATCGACGTCGTGAGGACCTGAAATCTCGCATTACGTAATTTCCGTTAAAAAATTGTGTGTTTCTATCCTGCAAACTTCTGGAGATGAATCAATAACACAATCAAATAGAATTACTTCTTCCTATTGCTTTAGAGATTGTAGGTTGACCCTGGAAACACATGCTCACTGATTCTAATCCTGCCTCAGACACGTATCGATTTGGCAGTTTGGTCCCAAATTCCATGTTCAAAAATTAATTTCAGTAACAGCTTCAGCCCAGTCATTAATCCAGCTGGTTTCTGAATGACTGAGAAACCTTACTGAGACCCATATACTGATGTAACAATTTTGGTGATGAAAACTAGCGTTAAAACTTCAGTGCATTTAACTTGCTGAAGACTTCTTATATTATTAAGATTCTGTAAAATTATTATTCAGTTTAAAGTAATTATGTAGGATGAGAGTAGACTTACTTGTGAAGACCTTAATTTAATTACGAGAATGATGAAACCCTTGTTGTAACAGTTGGAATTACACAACAAGAAAGCAGTAATTAATTTAAACATATAAAAATCCTTGATATTTACTTTAATTAGGTTTATAGCCATAGCAGCGCCTATTGATCACAAATTACGTCACTGTGCTAGGAATAGTTACCACTAGACTTTAAATGGCTAAAACAGGCTTATTATCATATTTATATGCATAATCATCTTACCATTCGGCGCTGTATAAACTTATAAGTTTATAAAGCGTCGTTAAATGCGAAGATATAAAAGTATAATAAATGCCGCAGACCCTGCTCTGTACTGGATTTTATGTTCTTCTCCTCACGACTGACAGTCAGTCAGCTTCCGTCACTACGTCAATAAAATGCCATTCACTTCTCCGTCTTCGACCATGCCGTGTTTTATCCAAATCAGTGAACAGGTTCAAAAAGTTGTCTTTCCTTTGAGGAGCATATCATTGCAGGGCGATAATCCTAGTAGCATTTTTTGTCCTATAAAGTCTACGTCACGTACCGAAATGCAACCTACCACAAGGAAATCAGCACGTATCAGTGACATTAAACATTTTTGTAATGTAGGATAAACGAAAATTAAATATAAAATAATGCCACATAATTTAGTATCACGCAATTTCTAAATCTTAGTAATGAATTAAAAGGTACAATTTAAGAACGTGGAATTGTCACTATACCATAAAGAAGTATGGGGAGTGAAGGCATGAATTCGAATCTTCTTATTTTCTACCACCGAGAAGGGGGGTACCCCTACACTCAGAGCCGGTCTGGACTTTGTGACGAAGAGAAAAATCCCTGCTCCTCACGGAAAACCAACCGCACTCGATCATCTTGGTCCAGTCACCACCCTCACGAAGATGTCCCGGCTCATAATTTTCAATTACGGAAAGAATGTTCTTATAGAAGCCCAAGTTGATATTCTGGGCCTAAAATGTAAGCCAATCAATGGCGCGTGTTTGCAAATAGTGGCCAAAGTTTAATTATCAATCTGCTACTAACACAGAAACTGTAATTAGTGGCAACGTCCTATTGACATGCAAGTTACAAAAAGTCACACTGTGAAACAACGAAGTGGCGTCATTGCACGGAACTTGTATAAGGTGACTTAGCGAAATAATAACCGTCCCACGACACGACTATTAAGTCATGACTAATTTGGCTCATCTAATGGTCTTTATTACACTAGTATTTGACATGACATCTCACTTTTTAAAATTATACAGTAGAGCCAATTTATATGACCTCAACGGAACAGAAGGACGGGCGGATAATCGAAAATGCCGGGTAATACGGAAGACTAATCAAGAAGAAGATGGTAAAAAAATACGATATGACATCAAATAAAGACATCTCATAAACAAAAACAATTTTGAACGTAAATTAAATTTGTAAATGAGTTTTTATTTTGTTAAGGTAATAGTAGCGGGTATTTGCATGGCACGTCGGATAACCGAAGGCCGGGAAGTCAGGTCTCTACCATAACGCTACAAATGTAAATACATATAAGAAACTGCCCTCTTTCTGAGACCAGTCAACTGTCGGGTCACAAATGAAACCCTTAACTTAGGATCTAGGAGTTAAGGTAGAATAACGTTGATTGGTTATGGCATTGCTTACCTCGTAGTAGTGGTAAAATGACGATTATCAGGGAAACCAAAGAAATAGAAGTATAACCTGCTCCAATGTCGCTTCATCCGCCACGAATCTCATTCGAATCAACCGAGATTGAGCCCGGGTCACCACGTTGAGAAGTCCGCATCTAATCTCTTGACTTGCGGTATTTCTAACATCAGAACTATTTTATTATGAATTAATAAATTACTCGTTATTCTTGACTGAATTGTAGAGATTTGTTGAAATTGTGATTAGTCTGTATTTGCTATTCCTACATGAAGTTAAATATGTAAATCTTCTTGTTACAGATACAGTTCAGATGTCCTCTTCCATTGGCTTATACTCTTTGTTTAAAACACAGTTGTTACGTTACTTATGTACCACATGTTTTAACATGCAGTATCTCTTTATTTTGTCCACCGAGAAGTTCTTAGAATGACAGCAATTATTTCCCTAATCATTAACGAATTGGTCTTTGTGAAGGAGGAGCGTTTGTGTTTTGTTTCAGATACGAACAATATTTTTAAATATGTGTATGACATTCTGCTTCAAAGGGTTAGTAACTTCGTGTAAACGTTTTTATATTTGCTTTATAGGACGCGACATTTTTATTCGTAACAAGCGTGAATTGTGGATGCTTAGTTGTAAATACTGTGTCTGATGTTTTTATTTTAATCGATCTTGTTTTATTTCAGGTAAGTTGACGAGGATTGAAACATCGCTGACAACGTGTGATTTGCGTAAAATCTGTAAGTTACATTTTGATATCAGTATGCATATTAAGCATAAGAAGATATACATTTCATTATATTATCATCATCATGTCTTTGTCACCGTCGTCGTCATTATCATCATAATTCTGTATTTCATTGGCATGTTCATCTTGTTAATTCTTGAGAGTGGCAGATGTTTCGAAGCTAACCTGTTACATGGCTTAAAGATTTTCGTACAATAGAATTGTATTTTACCTACTTATTTATGCATGACAGTAGACAGATTGTCTTAATTATATGTTATTTCTACAGGAGCGATATTTATAAGCCTATCATTATTTAGTGTACATAATGACAGTGTACAGAGCATAAATTCTACGTCAAAATATAAACGTGAATGAAGGTCTTTTGTATCGTATTTAGACATCACTTATGGATGTCAGATCCCTGACTTCAACATACGGAAAGACACCGCCCTCTAGCTTTGTTGCGCCGTGATCAGTCACATATTCTTTACTCTGAAAGGCGTGTTTAAAATGGTACTGCTTCTCCTGTTTCCATCGACCAAGTTGTTCTGCTATCGTGTTCGACGAGAACAGCAAGAAATATCCCAATAGCGTCCCCTTTTGAATAGCATCCCCGTGGCCCCTACAACACAAACCCCTCTTGTCACATTGTCATAATTGTAACTGTCCATATGCCCACGGAAACATTCACAACCGATCACATTGTGGTGTGATATGAAATCGTTCTGGGGGGCCTGTCTGGCTTATCTGTCACCGACAAAAATGGGATCACGTTTCTTCCCTTTGTGTGTCTGTGTGTGTCCTCTTACAAAAGGACCAGAAACTTGTTCGGTAAAAATGGATATAAAGAGCTAGTTCGTTATTACTCTAGCGTTACATAGAGATGTGTTGTTTCGTGGTACTTATTAAAACACTACAGCAATAGCAGTGGTATAATAGGGACATTAAACGCGGCGAATTTGAAGGAACGGTTGTGGCATAGTTTAATCCCGGAATTCGCTTTAAGGCGGCTGATTAAATATTCTAAAATCCTCAGTTAGGCTGCAGGCTGAACTGACGTAACCCACTTACTTGGTATGTGGTTAAATAAATATAACTCGACTTGTTTACCTTTCAATAGTTACTGTCTTGCAATAGCGTGATTATCAGGGCATCAAAATTATAATCGTGTAGCTGTGCGCGTTATGCCTGTCTTGCTCCAACGGTATTGAGAATCAAGTTGGCAGAAAAGTACTGGCATGGGGTTGAGTGACGCGTGTTGGCGCTGACGGACGCATGACAGCTCTGTCAGTTACACAGCGCCCACCTACAGGAGATGCGCTAATACGCGTCATAGAACTAATAAGTGCCACAAGAAAGTTTCAAGTATGCGGCGTTGGAAGGATTACAGCAGTTAGAGAGATTCAGGTGGTAGAAAGATGAAATAAAATGTGAAACAAAGAAGCGAAAGCATGAGAATCAGGACGGAACAACAAAAGAATCGATAATCCAAGTATTTGCGTTTATTTTGCAAGTGGGGGTCCTAGAAGATCATTTCTTAGCATGGTAGGACTGCATTTTTTCAAGTGCGTCCAGGTAATTAGGGAATTTGATTTACATGCTACAGATTCTTTATTGAGAAGCTGGTATTCGCTCAGCGGGTAAATATATTGTCCACATTTTATGTAATACGAAAGTTCATCGTTGTGTTTGCGTGAGCCCGTTCACTGTACCCTGTTATGTGCCAGCTGCGTCCAGTTCACACCCTCATATTCTATTTGTTTAAGATGTCAGTGTAATGCATTATTATCGTACCGCCATTACCTGGGTCTCCCAGGCGGTCATTTCTCTCCAGGTTTCATAGCTGAATGTTCTACGAAATTGCCAAGTCCTGTATGCGTGCTACATGTGTGGCTCATCGCTCTTTTTCTGTTTGATTGCCCTAATAATGTATAGCAAATGCTATAGATTATGAATCTTATACTGTGACATTCCATTTGTGTTTTCGATGCTGTGTTATTTATTTTTACCGCCTACACAACGAATTGGGTCTTAAATGTTAATCAGGTTTTGACATTTATAGCAGCACACTTTTACATCATTAGACCATACTTTCTCGTTAAACTAAAATCCATATAAAAGAGATATAAATAAACATTTACAACGCTTTCGAGCAGGTGAATTGATTACAACTGAATGGTAGCAAGCATTCCTCTAAATTCATCTGCGTTTAATTCCGTCATGGAAACAATTTTGATATGTGCTATCGTTTCAAAATGTGTTGGCTTTGACGCGATTTTGAATGGCTAAATAGCTTATTTCATCCTGCATTCTGTTGAGGTGACACACATACAATTTTCTGGGCGTTTTTCTCTAGACTAGCCTTCTTACTTTTATTTGGTAGTGTTTGTATATTTTTTATAAGCTTTGTTTTCGCCGAGTAAGTTAACATTATCAGCACAGACAGTTTGACTTATTTAATTTAAGACCAGTAACCTACTTTTTTATTTCCTTGGATTTTTCTCGGACTTGGACCTGTTCATATACGTTCTTGGCAGATTATCCAGAAGTGGTTTGCCATTGCCTTCTTCTGTGTGTGAATGGAGTAATTGTTGGGATGCCACGGAGAAACCGGGGAAGCCCCCGGAGGAAAACTCCGTGTTGCCTAGACCACGGCCTCGCCCAGCACAAGTTATAAATTCGGGCACGCCGGGAATCGAACCCGAGACCCCCAGGATTACAAGGCCAGCGTTCTAACCGCTAGACGACCGTGGCGGTATTTTTCTATTATTGTATCTTAAAGTGAAGTTGAGATACAATGGAATTGATTAATCACTTCGTTTTGCGACATTCTGAACAGGACAAACGACTAATTATTCGAACTGCGGTGAGATACTCTTATAGTTCCATTATACTGAAACGTTTTATCAGATTTGGCAAGAGTTGCATGTATAAAGAGTCATTAACCCCGTCACTAAAACGCCCATAACATTTAACCAAACTAAACCAACATCATACCTACTCTGATTAAAATCGTTTAGATAGGTTTAATTTTTTTGTATATCGATGGACGGAAGGAATTATGGAACTAATGGATACTTCAAAATTACTCTTCGAAACACGCCAAAATATATTTTAAAATATGTTAAATGACACCACAAACTTTAGACATAGATTTTTCGGAAAAATTACGTGTTAAAATATTTTAGAAATGACTCATTTCAAGCGACATGTGTTATAAACAATGTATTCAGTTGCACATTATATATTTACGTCAGAATCGTTTATTTCACTAGTTAAGATTTGTCTGAAACCCAGCTCTAAATTATGTTGAACAGACAGTGTTCAACTTGTTCATGTAAGTGTTGAAACCTCAACTGTATTAAAAGTTCTTCGATCTGGAAAAGAACTTCAGAAATGGTTTTGGAGACTTCCTTTTCTATTTCTTCCTTTCTTTCTGTACTTCTGGTGCTGGTGATGGCTAGCGGTTCTGATCTAAACTAAACAGACCGTTTGGGTAAAATCGAGTTGCTAAAACTTCTTCGACGAAGTTAAAGAAATCATTGAATCTAGTTACATCAGAGTTGTTAAACTGTGTAACACGATGGCAAAGTTGTTTTTACAGAGGCTGAGAACTTGTAGGACTCATCTAGAACGTTAACAAAGCTCTTCAGAAAGACTAAACGTAATTTTCACATTGCTGTTGAAGGTATTCGTCTATTTTTGTTACACTGCGTTTGTATCCGGCAAGACACTGTTAATTCCTGTAAGAAATGATTTACACTGCCACGAAATTTTTAAGAAAATCTCTCTGAGTGAAATTAAATACAGTTCTACTTCAGCAACGAAGTTCTAGCGGATTCTATGCCAGAAGGCCGCCAAGTTTTACAGGAATAGTCTCATGTCGTAGACATATCATCTAATGGACGGTGTAGTCGACTGAAATATCCAGATTAGGTAGTCAGAATGGTGTAAAATGACAATAGAAAGATTTAACACTGGCATTGGTTAGGTTTTGAGTCTGTATAATGACAGACGTATGTGTAATACATAATTTATGTTAAATAAAAACTATAGTTGGAGCATGTTAACTTAACTATATGTCGATTTTCTGTTACAATTCATGGCTGTTAATGAGATTTTAGCCAACAATATTAAAATCGGTACAGAGAGGATTTACAGTATGTGTTTATTCGACGTATGCCTCATTTTATTGTGTGTTGAAATTAAAGATATCGAATGAGATTTTGAATAATTGTTGTAGATATGAACTGGATGTAGGTGGCACAGAATACAGTCCAGTGTCTGGATGTTATTAGCATGGCGAAGGTCTTGTGATATCATAAACATGTCAATTCTGGAACAGCTGAGCAACTGTATATTTAGGGATGTAGTAAATTTAAAAGGAAATTAGAGAATGTAAAAATGTTACAACAAATGTAAAGATATTTAGAAGTGGACGTAAGACGAGGGCGTCGTGTTCAACATTGTAAACTGAAACCTTCATAGTTAGTACTCGTAAATGTCAATGATAATGTTTGAAAGAAAGACACTGTATCATGGAGTGGGCCTAGTCGCTTAGCAGGTTAGCTAGTTGAAAAATTCCAAAGAACAGGCATTTTGTTATATTTACAGAGAAAGGGGAACCACATTTTATGATGCTGAATCTCTTTGAGTCTACTTTTTCTGGTAGAAATATGTTTGCTGCCTCAATCATCAAGGTAGTGAGTAATCGCCTTCATTGGGCAGGCCGAGAAAACCACTGACACGTCAATAAACTTCTGTGCCGATGCATGCACACCCTTTCTTATACTGGCTTCTTAAAAGTCTTTGGAGCTTGGTTGAGTGTACAGGATCGAACGATGGTTATGTCAGATGAAAATGACACTAAGAAGTCAGTCAGCTGATATACGTATTTTTTAAAGCATGTGTTATATCTCAGGACTTCAAATGTTATGGAAGTGGTAGTTATGGAATGTATGCTGTAGTAACAGAAAATAAAAAGAACTTTGGGAAATTGTCACGTTGAAT